TGTCAACGGCCAAGATCATTAGTCCCGTAAGTGTATTGAAGTTTTTTTTGTCGCGGGCAAAATTCTGTCCCGTAAAATTTTCCAGTAACTATTAATTTTAACTTGCCACGAAACTTTCAAGTAAAATTATTTTCGGAATATCATTAAAACGAATAAAATCTTATCACAGCATGACCTGAATATAGCCTGCAACATTTTACACAATTTTTAATGCGATACATTCCACCAAAACATGTTTAATTTACCCTCCCAAAATTTGTCTCTAGATCCGACCTTGGTGTATGTGTGTGTGTAAGTAAGGGGGGAGTAAAGGACAAGGGAGGGGAAGGAAAGATCGCGCGCGGTCCGTGGCCGTTAGGGTGTTGCTCCGGCATTCGCCTGGTGATCGGAGAAACCACGGAAAACTACCGATCTGAGCAGCCGGCCGCGAGAATTCACCTCCGCCCAGCGGCTGATCTCAACTTAGCTATCTAGCTAGTGTCGAAAATCTTGCCACTGTCGGGATTGGAACTCTAGGACCTCCCGGTTAGTGGCATTGCAGTGACATCAATTGATGCTCTGAACCCTTTTTGTCGGGACCCATTTCATAATGATATGGCATTATCCATTAACGTAACTCACGAATCAATTAACCGCAAAACCACGAGTTATAAATCAAAGTATTATGGCAAAAAACGCGCTGGAAATTGTGTGTGGGACAGATTCAAATTTATGTTAATCCTGAGTCTCATTGGCATCTTGGACATGCGTAGCGAAGCTCCAATCGGACTTTAAATATATTATGTTATAAATTGCCATCATTTCTCGGCGTGCGTCGATTCTTTCACGGGAGTACATTAAGGGATAATAGTCCGGTACACTATAATGAGTGCCCGGAAGTTACAGTTTCACGCCCTTTTTAAACGTATTTTCATTGCTTTATTCGAAAAGGTACAGTTTTCGTTCAGATTGGACGTACAGGATGCATGCAGACCAGATTGCACGATTTCTGAATGAAAACGCTTACACAGAAAACTTACAGTTTGACTCTAGTGCCTCCAGCAGCAGAATAGTTCATTAACGAATTCTTTATGGTGGAAATCGTCCATCCTTTTCAATTTTGTGGTTAGGTTATGTGCGATTCGCGATATTTTGTTTATTGGCGTGACGGATTCGAGTTTTCAGCTTCTTTGATGATTTTATTTTACTGCCTCTTGCAAATGTGACGTTACTGAATCACACTTCTGCAGCTAAGGTTTTCTCCATTCTGAGCGTTTTTTTCTGCGTACCCGCTAAAACCTTCGCAGTTACAACCACGCTTGTAGCAACAACGATGAAAGCCTTTCTAGATTTTTCATTATGTTTCATTAATATTCAAAAAAGTATTAATAAAGCAGTTCATAACGCACGTATACACATTTCGCGAATGAATGTACTCGGATTTCGGACAATCCAATTTGGCAATTCATTAGTGGACAGGCAGAGCCCCTGGCGGTTTCTCTTGGCAATTCATAAAGAAAACGTTCAGACCGTGCACATACGACTTTTTGCTTCAATACTTCTAGTTTGGGATTTTGAAGTTACTGTACGAGAATTCGCACGAAAACTGTACCGTGTAAAAAGCACTGAACACTTTTTGTCATACCTGGCTCGTTGACAGCGAGAAGTGGTTCGCTAATTTGTATACGTCATCTTGAAAGATTTCTGGTGTCGGCTCTCCCAGTTCTCTGGCCATTTCTCGTAAGCCCAGCAGATGAATGTCTATTCCATGCCCCATAATATTTTGAACCATTATTTCGGTTTGCTTTTTCATGGCAGCGTCGAACAATTCAAGTTTCTTCTGTTTCTACAACCAACAAGTAAGTAAATAAAATAAATAATCACAACAACAAACATTTTAGGGAAATTAACAATATTGAATTCCATTCAAATTATTCAGATCATGTAAGTCCTACTCTAAAACCTTCCAGTACAGTACAGTTTAAATGCTTGTGATATCCTCCCCTTAAAAGGAGACACATTTTTAAAATTTTAAATTATTTTTATATATCCCCTTTTGTTTTTACTTAACATTTTAACAAATTTCCCTTTAAAATTCAATGTTTAGCCACTATCGTTGGTACGTAAGTTAAATCAGAGTCGAATTCAGACAAGACACAGAAGGGAGCAAGTTTTCACAAATCAAGGGAGATAATCTACATATGTGAATTATATGTAAGTACAATTTTATAACGATGTAGCAAGAAAATACTGTAAAACAGTATGCATCACTGTTCTATATTACCACCATGGGGATATAGTGGTAATACTATACTGTATTACCACTATTTCACCATCTCGGCAAATTGTTTCTTCAGACAAACCTCGTTGGTTGCGATGAGTGAATGTTGTTAGCCTACAACAGAATTGTCCAACTACCAGACTGCGGTGAAATTGTGGCGTACGAAAGGTAATTGGCCCGAAAAGGACACTCCCTTGCTGACATGTCGGGCAAGAATATTAGCACAGCACACACACCCTGTCGGGGTCCGCACCCCGTTAAAATAAAAGTAGGTTAAGTTAAGATTTAAGAAATTTTTCTTCTAGTAAATTCAGAAATTTAAAACATCCCAATGTGTGTCCCTGCGTTATGCATGGTGCGGCCTGACATCACGCATCGTTCCTTTGTCCCCCTTCTTGGACCAACCCGTTTTGGAGCACCAAACTGCCAAGATCAACAATAAGAGGAAGTCAGGTGTGGATCACCCGAGATATGCAAATATGACGCGCAACCATATCAAAGGTATGGTCCTTGAAGTCTTGCAAGTTGAACACCCTTTACCTATAATGTGTGAATCATCCCGTTTCGTTCGTCTTCACCCTTCATGCACATCACACACAGCTCCCTCAGTTCGGTGACGATACGGCAATATTCATATCAAGCCGTACTCTGACACACAGCAGTACAAAAATTCAACAACATTTAAACACAATAGACAAATGGGCAATAAAATGGAAAATAAAATTAAAGCCAAATAAATTAAAAAATATTCTTTAAGACCATTCTCTACTCCCCATCCGTTACTAATAAACAATAACCAAATAAACTGGACACCATCAAATCAACCTATCAAATACCTAGGACTAAATCTTAACGAAAGACTGAACTGAAAATATATATAAACATTAAAGCAGGCCAAAATCAGATTAATTCTACTCAAACCAATTATAAATAGAAAATCCTAACTTTCATTAACAAATGCAATAACACTATAAAACTATCATAAGGCCCATAATGCTATACACATGTCCCATCTGGACAAATGCCGCACCATCCAACGAAAACAAAATACAAGTACTCCAGGACAGATTTCACAGAATAGTCACTAACACCCCATGGTACATTTCAAATCAACAACTCCTTAGATAATTAAACATGAACTCAATCACTTACCAAAAAGCTCGCTTATCCAACAACTCTACTCCAACATAAACTTAATAGATCAACTAAAGCATTATAATTTAGCCTTAAAGTACAAAACACTAACCAGAATAAACAACAGATACCCATTTGAATCCTTCCTAAACATTTTCTCAAACAATTGTGAATAGTAGGTACTCTAATGAGAAATCTACTCCAATTGTAGAAGCAATAATAGAAATAGGTTAAGCATAGTTTTTAAGTTAGTAGTAAGTCAACAATGCAGATGAAGGAGTGTAAACTGATCTATGTGGAATCCATACAAGCAATAAATGAAAAAAACCTTCATGCCTCATGTATTGCATTATTTACTATGTGATCAAAAGTATCCGGACATGTCCAAAGTGGCGTTATAGTGCTTATCATGGAGGGGGTTTGTACCCCTTGTTGTGGCACTATCACATCACAGACATACATTGATGTTTTAAACTCTTTCTTGCTACCCACTGTTGAAGAGCATTTCGGGGATGGCGATTGCATCTTTCAACACGATGGAGCACCTGATTTCATATTGCACGGAATTTGGCGGAGTGGTTACACGACAATAACATACCTATCATGAACTGGCCTGAACAGAGTCCTTGCTTGCATCCTATCGAATACCTTTGGGATATTTTGGGACGCCGACTTGGTGTCAGGCGTCACCGACCTACATCGATACCTCTCCTCAGATCAGCACTGAGTAAAATGGGCTGCAATTCCCCCAAGAAACCTTCCAGCACCTCCTTGAAAGTATGCCTGCGAGAGTGGAAGCTGCCATCAAGGCTAAGGGTGCGCCAACAACCTATAGAATTCCAGTATTACCGATGGAAGGCGCCACGAACTGGTAAGTCGTGTGCCAGCCACGTGTCCGGATACTTTCGATCACGTAATGAAGCGGAGGGCCCTGCAACTCTCCATCAAAACCGGAGACAAATCTGGAGGGTGCTACTATAGGAGGCGCTAGTGTCGTCGGGTGCAGTTGCAGGTTAGGCTCGCCAACTTTCCAACATAAAAATTGGCTAATTTGTGAGAAATGAGGCTTCTAAATGTTTATTTATTCATAACCTATACTTATAAGAAACCTCTGAAGAAAGCGCGAACATAGATGTTATCTTTTGTAACATTATGAGCCTGCTTGCGACCCGCGAACCCACGCACGTTGAAAGTATCGTTGGCAGCAGTTCGTGTTTTAGTTCCTGTAAAAAGGTGATGCAGCAAAGCGCACCACATATCTCCCATATAACGTGGTTTCCACAACGTTATATGGGAGATGCACACGTAACTTGTCGCGGCTCGATTCCATAAATCCTTGGCTATCCGGCAGACGCCGCGTCGTTGGCTAGGAGGCCGACATTTCGCCTGGCATGTCGCAGGCTTCCTCAGGGCAGTGAGGAAGTCTGCCCTGAGGAAGCCTGCAACATGTCAGTCACTGCCCTGAGGAAGCCTGCGACATGCCAGGTGAAACGTCGGCTTCTCAGCCAACACCGCGGCGTCTCCCGGATATCCAAGAATGTACGTTATATGGGATTTATGGGGCCGTGGTGTAGCGGCGGAAAGGCCGGCGTCGCGCCTCACTCACGTCGACGAGGCTGAAGGTGACGCGCTTTGCCGGCGGCCGCGGCGTCGTCGTCGGCGGCGTCGACGGCCGCGCCGGGCGGCAGCGCCCCGAAGGCCAGCCCGCCGCGGCGCCGCGCCCGCCGCCCCGGCCGCCGCGTCCTGGCTCATGGCGGCCGCCCACGCGCGCGCCTCGCTCGTCGCCGACCGGATGCAGTCGACGCGCCCCAGCAGGAAGCGCCGCGTTCGACGCGCTTCTCGTACGTCGCCGCCGACCGCCCGTACAGCCTGCGCACGCGACACGCCAAGCCTTGAATTAATAATAATAATAATAATAATAATAATAATAATAATAATAATAATATTTATTGAGTCACATATACAATTACAATCGTGTATGGACGAGTCAATACGATGCCTTGGGAGGAGAGAGCGAAGTTATATTACTGTTCAGGAGCAAACAAGGGGCCATCTTCAAGCATTTGCTCAAAGGATCAGGGAAACTGAACAAAACCTGATCGAGATGGGGTTGAATAGAATGGAACGCCTTGGTTCGTGGGGGGGGGGGTGCCGGGCTTCCCGTGTCGGGTTTATTACACGCGCAACGTTTCTTTGAACGATGCTTCCTTGCTTCCCTCTCTCTGGTAAATAAACAGATGAAGGCAAATCTCGCAGCGAGCACTGATGACATTCCAAAACACATCTTCACTGGCGCGAAATAGAAACAATAGTCTTTTGAAGACGAGAACTTCTATCCTTTATTTTCTCCCAAAATCTAAAGAAATGACCAAAGCAGTAAAGATCTATTACAGGAGATACCTCGAACCCTGAGAAAGTAGAACGCAAATTATTGAGAACGTTGCGAAGCATGACTGATCCTCCAGAGATTGGCATTGCTTTATAAAATCTGGTGCTAATTTCGTGACTAATACCCCCACTCTAACCACATTTCTTCAATCCATCGTTCAAGAAAAGTTGCGCGAGTAATACCGACAGCGCCAACGGGAAGCGTATTTTCCGGAAGCTACCGAGGGACCAACCATCTCAGCTATACTGCGATTTAGGCAACTCTGCCCCAGGCAGGTACCAGATGTTGACGGTTTCATCCAATCGGGAGCTTGAACATCACCATAGTGACGTCACTATGATGACGTTCAAGTTCCCGATTGGATGAGACTGTCAACTGCTGATACCTGCCTGGGTCAGAGTTGCCTACATCGCAGTATATGTAGCGATATCAGGTAGTAGGTAGTTTTTGCACGCCGTAGCGGACAGCACGATCGATCTTCTGCGCATGCGCAGATGCACAAAAGTGTTGCGAAACTTGAACTGCGCATGCCCAGAACATCAATAGTGCTGTCCGCTAAGGCGTGCAAAACCTCCCTTGTGGTAATCTGTCTGGAGGGAAAATAGTCCCGAATTACGTCTTGCAAGGTCATTGGGTTTGTCGCACCACACCACAACACAACGGGGATCAGGAAAGTCATGGGGTGACATGTCCGTCTCCCCGAGGTCAGGAAGGAAGACCTCGCCACCATGAAAGCCACCCGGCAGCGCCAACGTGAAGCGCATCTTCGGGAAGGTACCAGAGTAGCCTGCCAAGGGGCAGTTTCAGCTAGGTAGAGATATCGGGTAGTGGTAACTCACCGAAAATAAGCAAGTTGTAGAGCCAGTTGAATATAAGCATCTGGGCTGACACGGCATTCCTTGATGAACTGCTTCCCGTAGCCTTCGAAACGGTACACGTAGAAATCCAAGTCCCGAACCAAACTGTAATGAAAAACACACTGAGATCACCATGTTTGTTATAACGAAGATGTAATTTTTCATAATAGTAAATACATATTTAATGGTTTATGTGAAAGTGCTAAGATATAGGAAAATGTTAACAGTTTTAGATATTAGAAAATATAATAAAAGATAAGTGTACATCCGTGTATTTTCTTATAGACTACATCCTGATATTTTATAATTTGCAATATTCAACTCATATGAGAGACTAATTTTAATTTGCACAAAGTAAAGGGCAAATGAAAAATAAAAATTACAACAGGAATTATAACATAAGATTGTTGTTTTCTCCAACTGTTTAGCGAAAAAGATTTGTGTTCAAGACAGAACTTCCAATAATAAAATCTCTACTCTTTCTCTAAACTATGATTGCAGAAAGCGAATGAAGTGCGTTACTAACCAAAAGTTTGAAGCGATAAATTGTGATGTAAAGAACAAATGTTTAAAAATATGTACATGTAAGATAAAAAATTTAAGGAGAAAGTAAAGAAAAGATAAAATGGAAGAAAATGGAGTAGAGGACAATGAGTGCTGAGTACTATGAGTCTTATAGATGGAAAATGAATTAATTGAAGAGGAAGAGAAAAAGGAGAATCAACAGAAGAAAAGGCAAGGAAGGGAGGACGGCTGCCTAAGTTGAAGGTGATATTATGAACATAAAAAGATAACAAACGCATTTTACAATATAAAGAGAATACGAAAATCTAACAAACTGACAAACAAGACAAAAGAGAGGGAGTATATGCAAAAGCTAGAAAACGAAAACGACATAGCTGAGGAGGGAAATGGAAAGATCTGAGTAGGTTGTAAACAGAACTCTGTAAGCAAAGACAAGAGAAAGGCAGAAGGAAAATAAGAAGCGCAGAAGCAAAAGAATAGAGAGGAGAGTAGGATAAAGGGGGGAGGTGGAGGAGAATAAAGGCGAAGGAGAGGGAGGCGAAGAGAAGAAAGGGACAAAAAGGGGAGATGGAAGTCGTAAAGGAAGGAGAGGACGAGTAGGAAGGGTGGAGGAGGAGGGGCCGAGGAGGAAGGGACGAGGAGGAGACAGGAGGAGGGGACGAGGAAGAGGGAACGAGGAGGAAGGGACGAGGAGGGGCCGAGGAGCGACACACACGGCGCGCGACTCGCAGCGCACGGCCGCCCACCGCCCAGCGCCGCCCCGACGCAGGGGCCCGAGGAGGAGGCCCGCCCCACAGAAGAGGCTGGTCCGACGGCAGGAGGCGGGCGGAGAAGGGGCGGGAGGAGAGGACGTAAGAGTGGCATTTTCAGGATGTTATGATAAGAGAGAAATAGCGGATGGATGAGCCGTGTCGTTCGTTTGTTTTATGAGTGAATGCATATAGGCGTTGTTTTGGTTTTTTTTTGGCACGCCAATGTCGAGGTGAGGCGGCGGTCCTGCAGGCGGCGGCACCACCTGCGGCGGGACGCGCCACCGGAGCATGCTGCGGCGGCGGCCGGCAGCTCCTCGGAGCGGGTGGAGGCGCGCCGCACCGGCTGGCGGCGGCTGGGCGGCGCCAGGCGGCGCGTCGGCGCGCCCGGTACGCCTGCTCCACCAGCTGCACCACCGCCACCCCCTCGGCCGGCGAGTGCTCGTAGCACAGCCCGCACGCGCCGTCCAGCGACACCACCAGCTGGCGCAAGCACAAGCACGCCCCCGCGCCGCTCAGCGCCAACGCCCCCTTCCCAGGCCGACATTTAGGGTGAAATTCAATTGCAGTGGAGTAATAACGGGAATGTAAAATTGGAGTTTCGAATTTTCTCGATTCATAATTTTTTCTTTCCGGTCAGAGTGTGTACGTAATGAAGGGCACAATAAGACACCTCAAATATTTGCTATTTAAAAGAATGTATTTGAAGTGTTATCCTTAAAGACAAAACAATTTTATACAAGTTATTAACATCCAATGTCCGTAGAAACTGAAATAAAATAGAACTCTTTCAGCCATGTGAGAGATATCTATGGTTTCGTTAGTCACCCAGAAATGCGGGAGAAAATACAAAAACGTCTTTATTAGTAACACAAATATTCGCATTAATTGACGAAAAAATAAGAATCCCGTGGACATGTGATGTCTGTGGTGTCTATGGTTTCTTTAGACACTCATGAACTCGAAAAAAAAATACAAAAATATCTATATTAGTAATTTCGAACACATGCATAAATTGACCGAAAACTAGCCACAGAAATTGAAACAAAACAATGAAACCTTCGGCCATATAAGAGGTGCATATGGTTTAACTAGGTACCCATGAACTGGGAAATAAAATCCAGAAACAATGGCACAGTTTCGATTTTAATTGTTGAAATACAAATATTTGACTGTTATTCTCAATGCGACTACATTGTTTTACTCTGTGCGTCATTGCTTTCTGCACAGCTGAATAGTTTGGCTGATTTGACTAATTTTAATTTAAAAATCATTGATTTATATCAAATTTTGATATATTAAATTTTGACTTGTTATAAGTACAACAAATGTTGCTAGCAAATACTTCCTTTTTCTTTTGTGGATTTTACCAATCAATTAAAATAACACCTCCAAGACTTGATAATTAACTGACATTATTAGAGCGGTTTATTTCCATCGTGATCAATCAAGGGTACTGAGCAAATGAAATCTTTTACGGAAAACGAGAGTCGCCGACGAGATCAGACCAATTGTACTATCTTCTGTAAAGCCAACTGAGGCAGCACTCAAGCTGCGATAGTGCATTATTTTTAGGAAAATCTTTTGTGCCATATCACGTTTGTGGTATATAAAAGAGCTCTGCTACGTGATCGGTAAAAATTAATTGCCTTCGGAACATTATCTCACCTACTACCTACCAAACCAGTTCCATTTTTAACTGAGATTGGCTTCTGGCGGAGATAAAGAGTCTCACCTAGGCGTTACAAGGGTCGCCGGTGGGGGCACCAACTCAAATGATTCTTGGATCGCGCGGATTTAAAAGAACGCCGACTCCCAAATAAACTCTAAATAAATAAATAAATAAATAAATAAATAAATAAATAAATAAATAAATAAATAAATAAATCAAAGTTAATTAGTTAATTGATTAACGGAGTGAAGGCGTCGGCGCACCTGCATGGTCTTGTCGAACCAGCGGTTGGCGCCGTTGGCGGCGCTGCCGCCGCCGTGCAGCATCTGGTGCGCCATGTTGGTCTCGTCGCGGGGCCCCGCCGAGTGGCCGACGCCCGCGCCGCGCACCGGGCGCGCGTTGAAGCTGGCGGGCAGCGGCCGGTCCAGGCACAGCACCAGCAGCGCGCTCTCCACCGTCTCCAGGTTGCGCCGGTTCCGGTCGTCTGCCGGGCAGAGCGGCCGCGCGTCAGCGCTCCAACGAACCCTACCCTCTCGGGAAAAGAATCGGCCGACTGTGCTCTTTGAATGACCGCCTTTTTATTACGTACGTACTACTGTTCTCAAAGTTTTGAAGTGATTTAAAAGTTTGAAAAGCAGGCCAAATGGCGTGAGTATCACCACCAATATAGACATTTATTTACTTTTTTATGTTAACAGTCTGTTCATGGGTAGTGTCGAAATTAAATCGTAATTTAATGTACGATTTATTATATGTTGCAGTCAATGGAAACACCGGTTTGGTGTTGTTCAGTATTTTCAAACATTGTTTTTTGGACATGTGACTTCATAAAGGCGTAATACCCACGACTCTGGGTAACAAAATTAGCACTCAGTTCACGAATTCTTTAGAAGTCATAATGAAATATTCGACACGCAAGGTAATGCCACATGAAATTGGGATAATGATCCAAGGACCACATTGAAGATGTGTTGTATATGCACATTCTTCAGTACATTTGCTTCCCTTCCCAACATCTCATTCAATGATATACATTTTTGTAAATGTCTCCTTGAATCGCTAGTAATTCTCAAAACTTCTAAATAATAAATATACTTTTATTAAACTCATATTGTTTCTTAAAATTCCCAAATCTAAATGTATAATGATTTAATTTCATATTCATTTTCATTTACTGTAAGTTATTACAGATTCTTTTGCGGCAATCCTTTCTTAAATGTTGGTGCTATTTAATGTAGACTGCTGATAAAGTACAAGAGACATATATTGCCAAATGAAATCGATATATTCGTTTTGTACACTAAATAGTGAAAGAGCCCACAATCTCATTTCCGTGAATAATTGCATGTAAAAATAACTGGCATTTGTCATCACACCCATGTAGACAACAGGCATGCGCTTGCAGTTGATCTTGTGCGCCTCCCAGCACCGGGCATATTCTCTTTAGTTGAGCTGAGCGCCAGCGATGCGCTAGCGTCGCCCGCCTCACATGCACATGCTCCCTTACTCTACTTCGTAAACATCCATTCACTAACTACGAAACTACGTGCACTAAGTATTGTGCTTTCTAGAGACTGTTCTAGAAGCCTAATAGTTGAAGGGAAAGAAGAGAAAATAGTTTTGTCAAACAGCCAATTGTCGTAGATCGGATGAAAACCACAAATAATAGTTATAAGATCATAATTTTATCATGTGACATTGCTGTATGAAGTCGATATAATTTAATTTCCCAGAAAGCAAACACTGGCAACAATCCTTAAGCTATTGTGCGAAAAAGGAGCTCCAGTTATACTGCTATTATTTAAGGCATAGGGGGACAAGAAGTTATGTTGAGGAAGAAAAAGGATGGACCACCTCAATCTCAGAGATTGTAGGTTGAAACCAAGGGACATAACGTAATAAATTCCATAGAAATAATTTAATCGTATAGATCAGTTTATATTGAAGTTAAATTGATTATAAGAGTTTTGCAATATAATTGGAAATGAAAAAACGTGTGAAAAATATGGGTGTGAATATACATTTCTTTTGATCATCAACCTCGTTTTTGTTGAAATAGAAAATAGTATGGCGACGAAGAAGAGATAAAGGAAAGCAAAGAGAGGTAAGAAACATTGAAAGTGGTAGCCACCGGTAGAAACAGAATATCCAAAGAAAAAACGAAAAGTTATGGACTAGAATTACAAGGTTCAAATTTTAGAGTTCCCCGATTATTTTTAACGTTTCTATTTGGCAGTCCAGGATGGCTCATTTATGGCTGTCTCTCAAACTAAACCGTGTAAATGATGATTTGAATGTCACATTAGTTTCTTTTTACTTGTATATAATAAAAAAACTCATTTTTGCAATTGCAACTTTCCCTGAAAGATTTGAGGAATTGATTTACAAGAAAATAGTTTCAGATAGAGCTTTATGAGATGGCAAATCTTGTGGAGTCACTCGAGAAAACCGTACGTATCGTTCCAAAACTTAAATGGAAGTCAAAACTGATCCAGAAATGAACTCAAAGAAACTCAGACTGGCACTTGGAGATAGGCATCGGGATGGATCGCAGCAATTCGGGCCTCGGCGGTTATCACCAGAGGTGAAGCGGTGACAGCTTGGGACTGGAAGGCAAGGGCTGGGAGAAGCGGCATGATCTCGGAGGAGGGGTGCGGGGTTGAGCAGTGGGGACAGGGCAGTGATACACTTAGCTAACGTCGTGAACGTGGAGCCAGTGGTACATGTGGACGGGGACCGAGATCTTGAAAAGAGGGGTGTGAGGTCGGGGAATAAAGGCGGAGAATGAAGTGAGAAAGATGAGGTGTGAATATTGATAAATGATTCCAGGTGCAGAAAAGGCTTTAATATTTTTCCTGTAAGTGTAGTGCATGTGTTTTCTTCGGGAGGAAGCGGTGATCTTTCCCCGCTGGAGGATGAGACCCGGCGCCGACCTACCTGTCAGCTAGTGGGAAATTCGCCAATTAGGTATCTCACACTACCTCGGAACTGCCCCCGGCCGCGACGGGGTCTAAGTTCCCGACTGGTCTCCCGATCTATGTGGTAGTGTAGTGCATGTAAGTCTGTGTGTAACTAAAGGGTGAGGATAGGACAAGGACGGGGAAGGAAAGATAGCGCGAGATCTGTGGCCCGTTTGTTAGGCTAGGAGGACGGGGGACGAGACGCGAGGGTGAGGGTGGGGAGTGAGGACGAAGAGCGATGATAGAGGCTGAGGGAGGGGAGTGAGAGAGGGTGAGGGCGAGGAGTGATGTCAAGGAATGAGGAACGCGTGTGAGAACAGGAGTGAGGACGTGGAGTGAGCACGAGGCCCGAGAGTGAGAGCAGGAAGCAAGGACGGAGGATGAGGGTGAGGTGAAAAGGCGGGGAGATAGGTTGGGAGAGATGGGGGGAATAATATGGTGGTGAGAGATGGTGGGGGATGAGGACGAAGAGCGATGCTAGAGGCGAAGGGAGGGGAGTGGAGAGCGGTGGAGCTGAGACAGAATGAGGGCGGGGAATGAGAGCAGAGAATGAGGGCGGGGTGAGGACGAATAGCGATAATAGAGGCTGAAGGTGTATGTGAGACGGGGAGTCGAGACAGAATGAAGAGGGGAAGTGGAGCAGAGAGTGAGGGCGGGGAGTGGGACGAAGAGCGATGATAGTGCTGAGGGAGGGAGTGAAGGCGGGGAGCGAGGACAGAGAGGGTGGGGAGTGAGAGCAGAAGAGTGAGGCGGGGAGTGAGAGAAGAGCGATGACAGAGGCTGAGGGACGGGAAAGTGAGGGCGGGGCGGGCGGACGCACCTTGCGCCAGCGCCTCGCGCGTCCGCAACACGTCGCGGCGCTCGGCGTCAGCAGCGCACCGGCGGCGGCGGCGCCAGCGCGGGGCGCCTCGCGCAGCACCTGCCGCAGCTGCTCGCCCAGCTGCTCCTCGCCGCGCACGCTCACCTTGTACATCTGCAAGCACCCGCGCCCCTCGCCCCCTCACCAACACACTCCAACACTAATCACTGTTTAGGTTACCAACATCTTCCGATTGGCTGGGCGGTCGCGTTTTTCAATAATTTCACTACACCTGGTTTTTTTAAGTATTTGTGTTTGGCTATTATATGTACCGTAAAGGGCAATTGGTCTCGGCGCCGTCAGATCTCGGGGTTCCCAGTCGGTCACCCAACCGGGAACCCGCGATTTCTCGAATTCGCTTAAACTTCGTGACTTCACGTAATTAACGAATTCGGCTAGCGACGCCGGGTTCGCGGTCGTGGCCTTTCAGAAGAACCATCCCAATATTCCCATGGATGGCCGAGGGAAACCACGAAAACACCGGTAAGGATGGGGCACGGGAATTGAACCCGGGCCTCCCGAACGCGACGTCCTGAGCCACGTCGCTCGGTATATCTGGATACGAATGAGTAAAAAGGTCACGAGGAGACACGTTGGTCTCCGGGTTGTAAAAGAAATCTAACTAAGGAAAGAAAGAAGATAAGTAGAGCGACTACACTTCACTCAGAGAAAGATGTATAATACAATAGGAACACAAACACAAAGTACGTGTCACAAAACAATCACAAGGTTTCACGAGACAATCACATTCACAAGAAAGGTAGATTCACAAATACAATAATCAAATATGCATCACAAAACACAAACGAGAAATTCAATTACAATTTTGTACAAATAAATGCCAGGAGCTGAAACAAGGTGGAAACGTTTGTTATAGCTCGGTAGAAAAAAAATAAAGAAAAAAGTGTAAAAGACTTGACGATCACAAAAGGAATTAATATATGACTCAATTATTTAGTGTATGTTTGGAAAACGAACAAGTTAACATAAGCACATAACCCTGGAATTGAAGGTTTTATTTGAAATAAAAAACAATATCGCAATTGCAATGCAAATATAACCCGAGTTATTTTTATTACTCACTTCAAATTTTAGAAATAATCTGCTAAACATTAATCGTTCAAATTACATTTTTAATTGAATCTTCTCAGCATTCATAAGAGTGGCATGTGGTAATTTGAATTTGAATTGATATCACAAAGTAAATATTAAATAAATTGACATTAGCCAGATAATATAATTTCCAAACATTTTAACACTACGAATTGATATCAAAGTTTTAAAAATATGGTAAATGTTATTATTTTATTTGGTTACGGAAAAGAGAAAGCTTAATAAAAAGTAAATATTTGCATGAATTTCAGAGATTTAGTGAATGGCATTTCTCAAATTTAAATCAAAGCAATTAAACAAAATTCTAGAGAATTTAAGATAGATATGAGTGTACGAGCAAAATCTGTAAATAAACATTGCGATAAAGTCCCAGAATTTGTTTGTCTTCTAAAATTATCTATGATCTACCGTTCAAGTTCTTCTTTTGTAGTGGGAAAATGATGGGAAAAAGTGAGATAGACGTACAGTAAGCACATGAAAGATATTGAAATAAACATAGTTTATAATTAATATTGTATTAATTCGCAGGTACATCCTTTCTACTTCACGCGTTTTCTGCACATTCCTAGTGCATCTTTTCTGGCATGTATACGTGTGCTGAAAGAAATTTAACGAATTAAGAGTTCAGAACTACCTCGATTGAACACGAACGAATGTCGAAGCATTTAACGCCGATGAGTGATGTAAAGAGAGCGGTCGCGCGACCGTGCAGGATGTGTCTACATGAAATGTGTCTTCCTAGCAATCAAGAAAAAGTTGTATCATGCGATGTGTGCCGCGAGAGATGTAAGTTTCACTCAAGAATTCAATATACTTCAAAAGCATTTCATTCGGTAACAGTCCAAGCAGAAAACGATTGATGTAGGGTTCAGCACGTTGTGTTGCCTTAAGGGTGAGCGGACAGGTTCAGTGTGTAGGGGAGGGTGTGCAGTGAATGCAGAGATATGGAATGTCGCATTTAAGTATATGTCGCATATATGTTGCTAATAAGTATAAGTTCGGCAGGGGCACTGTTCTTCGAGATTTCAGTACAGACGATTTGGTACTGACATTAAAGAAAACAATGATAACGGGAGGGCACGCAGTGCTTAAGCTACGGCATGGGTACAGGTAATATACATACCTCATATGTAACGTGAAACATACACGAAATATTTATTACACAATTTTAAAACTCCTCTGGTGTGTGCTTGTAGGTATGCTGCAAGGTTTTTGCAGTTCATTTCAAGGCTGTAGTATGATGAATTCCGTTATCTCATTTTAGTCCGTAAGAGAAATGGGGCAAACAGAGTAATGTAGCTCAGGCATACGTGACCGACTGTCTGAAAGGAAAGTGTGTCTCCTGCAGGAGGGAGCTGAGACGTGCTGGGGAGTACCTGGACAGACGTGCATGCCGACGAGGCATGGGTATCGGGCGGGTGAGGCAGGCGCGGGAGTTCCTAACTGCATGTGTGCACTTCGAAAATATTCACATTTACACAATCACATTTATGTGTGCTCGAACATATGCCATAAGGGCTTTAGTCCAAACGGATCTGGTACGTTAATGTCTGCAGATAAGGACGGTGCTGAGGCAGAATAAAAGTAGGCCAAAGAGATGTGGGCGACTGGCCGAGGGGGCGTGGCGGCCAGGGGAGTACCTGGCCAGATGTGCATGTTGACGATGCATGGCTATCGGGCGGGTGAGGCAAGCGGGAGAATTTCTATCTGGACATAAGATTTTTAAAAATATTCTTGACTTCTTATATGTGTGCTCGCAGACGTGCCATAGGGGCCTTAAAGTTTAGTCCAACCGATGTGGCACGTTAATCCCCGCAGACAATGACGGTACTGAGGCAGACGATGATGATGCTGAGGCAGAATGCCATGTAGAGGGTGACTGGCCCCGGGGGCGTGGCCGCGAGGGGAGTACCTGGCCAGATGTGCATGGTTCTCGGGTGAGGAAGGCAAACAGGAGCATTCCTATCTGGATGTATGAACTTTACATATGTGTGCCCGCAGATGAGCCATAAGGGCCTTTAAGTTTAGTCCAACCGATTTGGCACGTTAATGCCCGAAGACGAGGGCGGTGCCGAGGCAGTATGTCGTGTCGAGGGCGCATGGCCGCGGGGGCGTGGCCGCGAGGGGAGTACCTGGCCAGATGTGCATGGTTCTCGGGTGGGGGAGGCAAACAGGAGAATTCGTATTTGGATGTATGAACCTTATATATGTGTGCTCGCAGATGAGCCATAAAGGCCTTAAAATTTACTCCAACCGATTTGGTACGTTAATGTCAGCAGATAAGGACGGTGCTGAGGCAGAATAAAAATAGCCCAAAGAGGTGTGGGCGACCGGCGGAGGGGACGAGAGAATTTCTTTCTGGATGTATGAACTTTAAAAATAGTTTTCACTTCTTATATGTGTGTTCGCAGACGTGCCGTAGGGGCCTTAAAGTTTAGTCCAACCGCTTTGGGACGTTAATGTCCGCAGAATGCCGTGTGGGTGTCTGGCCGCAGGGGCGTGGCCGCGAGGGGAGTACCTGGCTGGCGCACATGACGACGATGTGGGGCTCCCGGCCGGGCGAGTCGCGCACCAGCAGGCGGTCGCGGCTGCGGCCCGGCTCGCGGTGCGCGCTCAGCAGGCGGTAGAACTGCGCCATGCACAGCGGCTGGCCGCGCTCCCGCGACGTGGCGCGCTCCACCGGCAGCTCGCGCCTGCGCACACGCGACCGCGTCACCTCAGCGTCAGCAGATACATTGGGTAGTGATTCCGAGCAGGTGAACTGATAATATCGTATTTACTAGACTCTCCGGGTGAATCCGCGTCCATGGCGAAGGTGCCGACGTTTCGTAATGAACTTAATAAAAAGGAAATATTTGCATAAATTTCAGATTTAGTGGAGGGCACTTTAAATAAAAATTTAAATCAAAGCAATTAAACAAAATTCTAGAGAATTTAGGATAAATAGTGTGTACAAGCAAAATATGTAAATAAGGATTTTGATAATGTTCCAGAATTTGTTTTTCTTCTAAAATTATCTATGGTCTACCGTTAAAGTTGTTCTTTTGTAGTGGGAAAATGATGGGAAAATGTGAGATAGACGTACAGTAAGAACATGAAAGATGTTGAAATAAACATAATTTATAATTAATATTGTATTAATTCGTTTCTACTTCACGCGTTTTCTGCACATGCCTCGTGTATCTTTTCTGGCAGGTATACGTGCGCTGAAAGAAATTTAACGTATTAAGAGCTACCTCGATTGCACACGAACGAATGTCGAAACATTTAACGTTGATGAGTGACGTAAAGGGAGCGGAGGTGCGATCGTGTAGGATACGTTCGCATGAAATGAGTCTTCCTAGCAATCAAGATTACGCTCAGGGCGTAATGAGGAAGGTCGCAGAATGGCGACCGAAACGTCGGCACCTTCGCCATGGACGCGGCGTCATCCCAACAGCCTGGTAAATACTGACTCCGGCCGCGGAGGTCTACGCTCTTGCTAAGATCGTATGAAGGTGTACTGCGTGTTCTTATCGGTGGCGATGACCTTCCCTCGTCGAATGGTCAGATCCGGTGACGATCTACCTATCGACTTGCGGTTTTTCCTCAACTAGGTATCTCCCACAAGCTTGGCATCGCCCCAACCTAGACAAGCTCTAAGATCCTGACTGGTCTCCCAACATTTGTAGTAGTGTAGCTCATGTGACTCTATGCATGCACTTACACTTTTACTTACATATGTACAAACATTATTGTTTCTTGAGGGATGAGAATAGAACGAGTAAGGGGGAGAAAAGATCGCGCGCGGTCCGTGGCCCGCTTTTTAGGGAACTGCTCCGGCATTCGCCTGGTGTTGCTCGGAGAGACAACTGAAAACTACCGATCATAGCAGCTGGCCGCTAGAATTCTCCTTCTGAAAGAGGTGAGCTCGACCTCGCTATGTAGCTAGTGTCGAAAATATTGCCACCTTCGGGTCTCGAAACTAGAACCTCTCGATCAGAGGCTCTGCAGTGACATCAGTAGATCCCCTGAGATACATTTGTCGGTGTCAACATCTGTTCACTGATACTTCAGACTGCACAGGTGGATCGATGCATTAACTATTACCACTGCAGTCACTAACCGGGAGGTACTTAGGTTCGAGTCCCGACTGTGGCGGATTTTCGTCACAAACTGGATAACTAGGTCACAAATAGGAGATTTCTAGTGGTAAGATGCTCCGATCGGTGGTTTTTCGTGATTTATTCGATCAATATCGGACGAATGCTGGAGAAGTACACTAACAGTCCGCCGGGTCACCGATGGCGCACGATGTTTCCTTACTTAACTTTCACTCCCCCTCTCCCCTTACACACACTTACACATGCATGAGTTACACTACCACACATGCCAGGAGGTCAGTGGGGTGCTTAGAGCTTTTCGCGTTTGGGACGGTTCCCCGCTGACGGAGATATCTGGAGGTAGAAACTCCCGCAGGTCGAACTGTAGGTCAGCATTGCATCTCACGTTTCGGCGGCGAAAGAAAACCACCAATTCTTGGCTCTGAAATTCTATACTCATAGGGTCTATTGTACGTAGGAATTAACGTGCTCGAGAACCCAAAATAAACAACTAATCAACATTAGAAGTTGTATTTACAAGGAAAATGATAATGAACAGGTAACGACACTTCATCACACTTCGAATGGCCCTTAAATACTTCTATTGTTGTTATTCTATTTACTCTTTCATCGAGAATACATGGTTCAGCTCTTAGACTTCTCACATTTGGATAATAGTACATAAATGTACAGAGACGGCGATTGCTTATATTATAAAAATAGAAGTAATAATAATAATAATAATAATAATAATAAAAGAAATTTATAAGGAATGAATTTTAATGAAAAGATGTATTGCTGTTATATAATTTCATTCAGTTAGTTAAGAAACTGTGAAGGGGATACAATTACAAATATGCAGGTATACAGGAATATCTATGAATGCAGCGTTATGAAGTGCACCAGAAACGCGTTTAAAATTGTAGGCAAATTTGGTGGAATAAATGAAATATGGAGGAATTTTCCTTTTGTTTGGACTATCAGTAAATATAATCTTCACAGTCACAGAAAATATATTAGCTCGTCCCTTCATTGTTGTATCAGGAGCATAACCTTTACTAAAAAAGGGCTAATGGTTGCACATACACAATAATGTTTTGTGTTTAAGTAAAGTTAGGGATATTAGTAGATATGTCCAAATAGCAGAAACAAGGATGGAAGTGATTTTAGTATCACAAAAGCTGAAACGTATGAGCAATGAAAAAATTAAATATTAAAATTTGTTATATAAACGAGTTTAATAAACGTGTTTGAAACACTCGTATGTTTGTTTGGCGTACTGCTCCCTTATCAATGTCATATCCCTGCGGCAAATGTAAATATTGTCACATATTGTCTAACCGACAAATGATTACAAAATTGTGTAATTCGAATTAATGTATAATTTTAATTTTAATTAAAATACTGCAAATTACAAAATGTAATTACGCTAGTCAGCCGCCATGCCTTCTTGGAGGTAGCAACGTTGCTCGAATGAATGGCAACCCCTGAACGTGACGTTCGGTTATGCAACCCACTACACTGTTATGTACTTCGTGTTGTGTCCAGGCTCTACGTATAGGTTTAAAACACATTTGGTGCACCCGCTTATTCATTTTTTGGAATGTTAACTATAATCATAATTGTACGTTTTCCGAAAGAAATAAAATTTTATTTTATAACATTGAATTAAGTTAATTAAAATATTTCTAATTAACATTTTTGTACAATATTATTGTATTTGAATGTAGACGTAAATAGAAAGAGAAATTTAGATAAGAAACACCAGAAGAACGCGAGGAAAATGAAAACAAGCAACGCAAGAAAGCAATCGATAAGGTCCTGCGTGTGCCAGAAATAACCGAAGGATGCAATTTAAGAAAGGCGACCTCCCCACCATTCGTACGAACGCTGGGCTCCCGCGGCGAGTAATTTTCACCGCAGGGGCTCCAAA